CCAGGCGATCAATGCTGGCCCCGACTATGGACGGACATGTGGACATTGATGATATTGCTGATCACAAGCTGATGCCTGTGCCCAGGCCTACAGGCAGGGGACGCCCTAGGAAACCGCAGATGCAGTATCGAGTGCGGTTCAGACATCATACTGATCCTAAAGAAGACCGGTGGTTCACAAGAGAAGAATTCATGAAGACTGCTCCCCAGATTATTTCAAGTTATGAAAGAAATTTGAAAAGGAAAGCAGGCTGCTGTATAACGACTTCTCAGGGGACTATCGAAGTAAAGGAGGAGGGAGTGCGAGGATTTTACCCCTCGGCAAACCGGCATAAGGCCCTTCTAGCAAACGCCTGCCCACCCTAAGTGCAGGCGGCTCCCCGAATCCCAATGAGCCCTGAATTCTGGGGCCCGCCTTCACTTAGGGCGGGCACATGGCCTTGCGTTATGCCGGTTTGCCGAGGGGTAAAATCCTTGCATAACATTTTACAGCAATAATAATAGTATATTATTATTACTGAGTAGTAAATTAGCAATAATAGTGCAGTTGTGTAGTGCAGTAATAATGTGACAAGCAACGATATGGCAGTAAATTCCAGTAATAATAATGTACAGATATTTCTATGTAATAGTAGTATACAGACTTTTATTTACAATAATATTTTTTTTATGGTAAGAATATCACACAACTTCAAGAGAAATCTCCCTGTTGTAAGGTATGGAGGCCCTGCTGTGTATTGGAGAAAAGTGAGCAAGAAATGGTACTTGGGGAAAAAAAAACGGGGGGGAAAAAAACTGGGAAAGAAGTTAGAAAAATCCAAAAGAGAACGAGATGAGGATTAGAAAAAATAAAAATAAAAATAAAAATAAGAGTGAAAATAAAAATAAAAAGAGAATGAGATGAGAAGGAAGAAAAATAAGGGAACACGTACCCTAAGAAGAAAAGAGAAGCGATAGGCATAGCGCAGTTGGTACACGCAAATTGTGGCATTCTTAGTTCCACACGGGCCCCTGCAGGGCCCGACCAGTAGGGTTAGGAGTTCTAAGGGTTAGCGGGCTCAGTTTAGGCCAGATTAGCAGTTAGGCCCTGGTGCGTCGATTCGTTTAGCACCAGGCCGCTGGTTAGTAGTACCGGCTCCGTCCAGCTTAGGCGCCAGGCTGTTCAGACCCAGTTTTGGTGAGCGCTGTTCGTTAGGCGCCAGGGAAGTTCCAGCCCTGATTTGGGTCCGCAGTAATTTTGATACCAAAGTTTCGTTTGGGCGCCAGTCTGATTGAGGCCCTGTTTGGGATAGTCGGCCTCCCAGGCAGTCCAGCGTTCCTTATAGCTCGTCGGCCTAGTAGTAGGTAGGTAGTATTGAGGTAGCCTTCAGTAGTCGACGCACTGGGCACTGTAATATTCGACTAGACCGTCATTTGGGCGCCAGTCT